ATTTGTATGCAGGAATAGGTGAAGGGCAATCAACCACACGGCCACCTCTTTTTGATGGAACCAATTATACATATTGGAAAGAACGAATGAGAATCTATATTCGTTCCACGAACTTCCAATTATGGTTGGTTATCAAAAACGGGGAAGAGGTGCCGATGAAGAAAGTCGGAGACAAGTTGATCCCCAAGACCGAAGACGACGAGTTTGATGCCGAGGACATCAAGAGGGTCGAGAATTATGCAAAGGCAATAAATATGCTTTATTGTGCCGTAAATCCTGATGACTACCACAAGATCTCCTGCTGCTCAACCGCCAAGGAGATGTAGGATAAACTTGAGGTGACGTACGAAGGAACGGACCAAGTACGTGAAGCCAAGTTTGACTTCCTCACCCAAGAATATGAGATGTTCAGGATGAAGGAGCACGAGAAGATCGACGACATGTTCGACCGATTTTCCAAGATAGTCAACGATCTTCATGCATTGAAGAAGACTTACACCGACAGGGATCTTGTACGAAAGATCCTACGGAGCTTGACATCCGAATGGCGATCCAAGGCCGATGCCATCTATGAGTCAATCGGCACATCAAATGTCACCATCGACGGTTTAAGAGGTAACTTAAAAACCTATGAATCTACTATACTTAACCCGTCTTTGAATGACCAAAGGAAAGACATAGCATTAAAAGCCTTCAAAGAACTAACGATGAATGACTCAAGCGACGATGATGAAGTCAAGCTTGTCATGAAGAAGTTTTGTAAACTTTTAAGAAAGAAAGAGAAGGTTGAGGATGGCCCTGTGTGCTATGGATGTGGTGAAGCCGGGCACATCAAGAACAGATGCCCGAAAAGCGGAAGGAATGCTCAGCACTTCAAAAGGCAAAGAGCATACATCTCCTGGGGTGGAGACTCCGGCGATGAATCAAGCGAACAAGAGGAAGAAGAGGAAGCAAATCTTTGTCTCATAGCTCAAGAAGAAGAGGAGTCCGCCAACAACGAAAACCAAGAGGTATGTATTTCTTCTACCGGTTCTTATTCTTTTGAAGAAATGCAAGAAGCTCTCCAAGAGCTTTATGACGAGTTTGTCAGCGCTTCTAAAACCAACAAAGCTTTAAAGAAACGTTTTTCTAATCTTGAAATTGAGTTTGAAAAACTTCAAAAGGAAAACGAAAAACTAAAAGTTGAAAACAAATTTTATGGTAAAAGAAGCTCCGACAAACCCGAGAGCTCTACAAAACATTGTGACTCTTGCATAGCTTTGAAAGAACAAGTTGCTGAATTAGAAAACACGGTGAAGAAATTTAATAAACCACATAAGGATCTTAATCTCGTTTTTGATTCTATGCAATACACTAAACAAGGAATAGGTTTTAGGAAGATTGATGAACCTAAAAATAAAGAAAAAGTTGA